TTTTTCAAGGAGCCTCATGCTGTACCTGAAAATCACGAAATTTGATATTTCGAACCCGTAAACCCTCACTTGCTTTGCAAAGTTAGTGCTAATTCATAGTACAGTCTTGGTAGTCTCAAATTCCGAAAAATTATGATGTTTGCTGCGATTTTGGCTGAGGTGGGCCTGCCAAAATCCAATGGCTCTATTAAAAAAATCTTTTAAAAAATTACGGCGAGCTATGAGAAAGAGAAAAAAGTAGCACTGTATTCTATGATGTTTTCTCTGTCGAATCGTTACTTGAACTTCTTCTGAGGATTGATATGAAAGTTTTAAAAAATTGTGAAACTTGACCATCTTAAAAAGCATGGGTCGCAAGTTTTGGTTATTTTCCGAAAGCTCATTGATTGTTTTGCAACATTTTCATAACCATTAGAAAGAGAATGAAATTCTGCATCGAATGCCTCCAAGATCTCCTAGAAACCTTTGTTCCATCAAATGTGGCGCTCGTTTGAAAAAAGCGAAATTACTTTTGAAACGACCCAATATAATACATTCAATCAAACTGCCTACGACCAGAGTGCTAAGTTAGAAACTTGTGAGGCATGTAAAATCATATATTAGACTAGTTTGTTTTTTGGTCTCACCCAAAAATGTGGTGCGGGTTTCAATGATCAACGCCAGCCATCTGCGCTCCTTCATACTAGTAACTCGCTTCTTTTCACTATCCCTCATGTTGCTTTGATCTTTTCCTGTTTTCGTGACAATTTAGTATGTAGATGTTTGTAGGAGTTTACAAAATTAGAGGTGGCTTCGCGAGCCCAGAAAATGATATTCGATAGGATTGATGCTACGGAGGATCCCGTGGAAAATGAGGTTTAATGCTATTGCAAGCAGATTGCAGGTTGTGTGCCGGTTTCTCGCAACCGAATAATGACAGCCTGATCTTTGAGGGCGACATCATAAGGGCAAATCAGAAAGGTTGAGCGCACACTGGAAACGAAAGAGGAGAGCGTTTACCAAGAAGTCTTGCCCGAAGTTGGAGTAGAGAATTGCAAAAAACGTTGGAAAATATTGGCGCAGTTCCCATTTGTAGAGGTAGTGATCCCTACAATTGGACGTAAGTATGCATATTGACTTTTTAGATAAACATTGTAACCACGGTTTCGAGTAAGTGGTGGCCGCGCAACAATCTGTAATAACAACTTTTCAGCGTGTTTTGCCTATGTATCGCTTTCTTTTTAACACAGGTCTGCAATAACAGCATAAAATTGTTAGAAAAAGTAAAGGTTCCGGATCACGGACCCGCCTAACAAAATACGGGAATATGCTGTTCATGTGAATAACGCAGTTGGGAGGGACGAAAAGTTGAAAGATCTTCCTCCAGATATATAAGAAGTACTTATAGGTAGCCATAAGATTAGCTTCTGGTAATGTTTCTCGTTCCTTTCATAATCTTTTCATTTCAATCTTTGCGGAGAACGCTCTAGGTTACGGACACGAAGGGCTTGTACCTGGTTTTGAAGGTGATTTGGAAACGTCCAGGCGCTTTGAAATTTTAGAAAAGCCAAAAGAGATTTAGTGTACTGTTTTCTTGATTTAGCTTCTATGAAAGCCTTGGAAACAACGACGAGGAAAGAAGAAAGGAGCTTTCGCAATTAAGACACGAGCGATCTCAGTGGAGGCCTCATCTGTACCAGGCCCACAGAAAACCTTGTACGTGGTGAATTTGATCATTAATAACATTGCCTTCCAGAAGGGACGTGCGAGCATCGATGTATGAAGAGAATGACAATTAGTGGACCCCGAGTAACATAAGTTCATTTATATGAAACTTGGATACTTCAGCGAGATCCGAATGAAGTTTCAGAGGCAGAAAAGGAAGGCTTTGGCTGAGGTACCTGAGAACAACATGGAAACAACGAGTAATGTGAATTCATGTATATATAACGTGGCTCTTCAGCGATATTTGAATGTTTCAGAGGCAGAAAAGGAAAGCTTTGGAAGGGGTGCCCGAGGACAAACTTGTCAGATGGCATACATACTCGCGTCTTTGAGAAGCACGGGATAGTAGAACAACGCGATTAAGATTTCCTCTTTTTTGTAATCCGTTTGATTCCATGCTCGTTTTTGATTTGCGGCTTCACTATAACATGGTTCGCAAAAAGTTTGTGTATTTATATTTTAGAGAAAAGATAAAGAAATTATTTTGAATAAATTGTGTTTGTTCTATTGTCTTCATGTCCTAAACGAAGCAGCTAAGATTTTTTTTCGTTTGGCCGTACTTGTATGATCCAATATAAGCCAATACGGCAGAGCCGAGGCCCTTTTTCGGCCAAGCCGCGGCCCATTACGGCCGAGCCGCGCCTCATTTAAGGCCGAGCCGAATGTCCATTTACGGCCGGCCCGCGGGAGCTGCGAGTGCCCGGCTGGAACTGAGCCGCGGCTCGTCCGCTCTCAGTGTCTGAGAACTTCTATTGAGACACTGGGAGCGGGTGAACCGCACCCCTTTTCCGGCTGGAATTTCACAGCGCCAGCGACCGGCCGAAGAGTGGGCCTCGGCTCGGCCGCAGATGGTCCTCGGCTTAGCCGCAGCAGGTTGTCGGGCCGTTCTAGTTCGTTCTAGCTCGGCCTTATTGGGCGTTGGCGCAACATATCATATCAAGAAAATACACAACAGAAATTAAAGCCACCGAGCAGCTTCAGATATCAGTCCGACTTCAAAACGGAGTAACGCCAAGATGCTATCGAAGGTTGTTCATCAGACAACATCTAAGCTTGTTTTTACCTCAGAGAGCATCCTATGCTATTGAGGGCAGCCTGACCATGCGTCGTACATCACGCAAGTATCCTTCACACTCAAACGCTAGGAGCGATCGAACCGCGGCCTTCATTTGAAACGGACCGCTGCTCGGCCGACTTTCTTACACGAATTTTGGTACTCGGCTTAGCCGCTGCAATCACGCCCCATCATTAAGAGCCGCAGCTGAGCCGGTGAACCCATTTAATCCCGCGGCTCGGCCGGTGCAATTATAATGACATGAACAAAGGGTCGCGGATCGGCCACATTAGGCCGCGGGCGACGGGAAAGCCTTTTGTGGCCGCGGCTCGTCCGCTCCCAATGTTTGGTGTTTATCGAAACCAAACTCAAAATCACAAAATCAGGAAAAAATGTGATGTCCGTCACACTGATCTAGTGCGGACTACTGACTCTTTGGTGGACCGAAGACCTCCGACGAAGACGAGTTGTTCGAAACGTTAGGTCTATAAAGTTCCACCATACCAACCTGTGCGGCATAAGGAATACTAGTACATCAACTTACGTCAAAGATGCCCAGGTTCCAAGACGAGAGCACATGGAAACAAAAATCAGGTGTAATTCTTGGAAACCTGTTCCTTGAAGGCACCGTCCACCCAGATTCTCGACTTTCATGTTCTGATCATTCGGGGGCCTTCTCATGTCCTTGATTGAAAGTCGAGAATCTGGGGTGGACGGTGCCTTCAAGGAACAGGTTTCCAAGAATTACACCTGATTTTTGTTTCCATGTGCTCTCGTACTTGGAAACCTGGGCATCTTTGACGTAAGTTGATGTACTAGTATTCCTTATGCCGCACAGGTTGGTATGGTGGAACTTTATAGACCTAACGTTTCGAACAACTCGTCTTCGTCGGAGGTCTTCGGTCCACCAAAGAGTCAGTAGTCCGCACTAGATCAGTGTGACGGACATCACATTTTTTCCTGATTTTGTGATTTTGAGTTTGGTTTCGATAAACACCAAACATTGGGAGCGGACGAGCCGCGGCCAAAGATGAATTTGAGAAAAGATTATCGGGAGAGTCGCGGCTCAACCACATCATTTGAGAGACCGCGGGCCTTATCAAAGACCGCACTTCTTACACGCTGTAGATTAAGGCGCAACCCACGTGAGGTACGCCGCAGCGATGGGGTTACCCTAAGTATTTATGAGGTTGGATATCGCTTCTCGAACTTGGTTTTATCTGACAGAGTTTCTTCTATGCCTACGAAATAGACTTTAGCAGACGGATGAGAATTATCGTTGACATTATATGCTGTCGACTGATGAGCAAATCGCTCGATTTGCATTCAAGTCGTCATCGTGAAAGACAGGCTAGAAGGTTCCTCATTCTTCCTGAGCCTTACAGGCTGCTAATCGGGTTAACTATAAGGCTTAATGGGCACTTACAAAATGCACCGACGGGGTCACTTATCGGGTCTAATATCGGTTTACCGGCAGCTCGCGGCATGGATGATTGGTGATCGAGCAAGCACCCGCGAACTTCCCGATGCAGTTGTCTGAGAATATTTTATGCTAACAAAAGCTCAAGATCCTCAACTTAGGGTGGACGGTTCCTTTAAGGCAAGCCGTTGAAAAGTACTGATTTACAGCAAATCCGTACTTCTGAATGTAAGGTCGCGGACGCAGTTTGAGAGTTGAAAATTATTGAATTTTGTTATACCCCAATTTCACGCGTACAAGGCGCGGGGTGGTCTAGCTTTCATCGACCAGCGCGAACACGGCAAAGGACTTCGCAACCAAAGGAACCCCATACCGTGCTGCGTTTTGCCTGACGAATCGTGCGGCATAAGGATCGCTTCTTAAAACACGTTGGGGCGGCTGAGCAGCTCGATGAAAGCTAGGACCACCCCGCGCCTTGTACGCGTGAAATTAAGATAATTAATAGGATTTCCACGCGAGCATGATATTGACGCCTTTGTACACATCTCCACATGAGATTAACATTCTTTAAAAGCAAAGTGCTTGTACGTAACATAGCGCACCGAAATATTACTTTGTGCAACTTTAGCATATAATTTCAAAATTATATGCTTTACAGACCTTCTTTGTTCAACACATATATGTATACATGTATACACGCCAGTACCGCTTTCGACTTTCAAGAATGCTGATACAGGTTCAGACTAACAAAGAATATTTTTTCTGTTTATTTTTACTTACGCCAGAACAATTCTGTATAGATTGAGCTTTACACTTATAATCGAACGCTTTAATTCCAGCTTCATAGCTTTATCAAAACAGTCAATCTTTTTGACAAGCTTCATAAGCCTTGTCACCAAAGTATGTAACGGCTGTGCACGTGGACTTGATGGGGCAAAAATTGATCCTTGGGAGGTATTTCGCTTCCAGATAATCTAGCTTTTCACAAAATCTAAAGTTCTTGATAAAAATGCAGAAGCTATTTACATAACTCAACTTACACCTTATCACAATAAGATTTTCCTTTCTGTTTCTCATAGCATCTATCATGTAGCCAGCATGCCCTATTTATCTTATCTAAAATTATGAGATGGTGTAAAGGGGACCTTCGGATAATGATTATCCAAGATATTTTTATATACTAGCTCGCATATCCGGTCTTGCCCGGTTCATGAGCCACGGAGCCAAAGGAAGGAGGGAGGCGCATAAAGTATGTGTTCTGCTTCAAAACCTACGTCTTTCCATCTTTCATCCCGCTTCCATCTGCTGCATTCCTGCAATCCCTCCCCCTTCCTTCTCCGGTCCCGCAGCCTATATCCACCTGCGCGTGCAATGTAATTGCAAATGCCTACCTGAAAGCAGCATCATCTGGAAGTACCGGATCTCTCTAACCGCAAAATGAGAATGAGCTTCTCTGCTGTTGTTTACACCAAAGTGTGCGAGGGTATGACAGCGGTTGATAAGGCAGCAGTTTCATTGCTAAGTGCAAAAATCAATAAATCAATAGGAAAACCCAGCAAATCGCCTTAAAGAGTAGCCTAAAACCATCTACAGGGTCGAAGGCATATATGTACAAAGTTTCAGCTCAGTTGGTTCACGCGCAAGAGAGTCTGCAAAAAACATACGGTCCAGAGTTGCACAAACTTTTAGATATATCTATAACTTATATAGATATCTATTTTAACTTAAGTACTTAATCAAAGCTGTTTTTCAAAAAACAAAATGACCAGAAATTATTTGAAAACAAATGGTATCGTACACCGTTTCATTGCAGTTTACGTGCTATAAGGTTCAAAAATTACCCTACAATATGGACAAGTATCAATTTCGTGATCAGTATGTCAAGTTATCCCTACCCTCGGTTAGGCCTCAACTCTATCCTAACCTAATTCCCATCACTGTTTATGTTCCTACAGTAATCCTTACCGGCGATGGCGAAATCTGGCAAAACATTGATTGCGTTTGTAGCTTGCAACAAGGTCAAGAAGGAAAGATTTATAGGAAAACGCGCAAAACTTTTCAACTCGAACATTCAAAATTTTCCCATTTACCATCAATGAGGCACGCAGGCTACCAATCCACAATACGTTGCTTTATGAAAACACGACGTGGCTTTCTTTCCCAATCACTCTTTTCTAGAAACTTGCTTAGATTAGGTAATCTATATCTCCAAACATTCTGAGACATAAATTTTTTGCGCACTTATTCGAAACTCTTCTCTTTGCCCAGTTTCCATTTTCCCAAAAAGAAAAAAGGCATGTTGTTATTCAATAACCATTCAAAATATGTACACGTTTGAGTGAAGTTCAATTCAGTTCAAGACAAAAAAAGGCAGTCGATTCGATGTTAACAAACCGGAACGTTTGTAACGGGGGGTGTTCTAGTGGTAAGTTCCAATTTAACCTGATCGATAAGAAACACGGGTTTGAGTTCAAGAATCTATCCTTATGGCGCAAAACTGACAAGAACAAGAATAACAAATATAGCTATGTATTCTAGCTATGTACAACCGCTGGCATCAACCCGATTTGCCCTCTCAGCAGAGTTCTCTAGCTCTTCTCTATCTGAGAAGGGAGGTCCGCCTCTCCTCGACGATTCTTTTGAACTCCCGAGAGCGTTCCATTCGCGCTCTGACTGGTCTCTTTGTCTAGCAGTATTTATATCCCGCCGAGAGTTGAAATTGGCCTCTCTTTTCCCGCCACTAAAGAATGGTAGATAGGTGATCCGCGCCATCCAAGACATCACCTTTTCCAGCTCCTCTAAGAATTTATTTATTCAAGAAGTACGTTTTATGGAAGTTATAGGCGTCCCAAAGAATACATCAAACATTTAGTTCTAAAACAGCCTTCTATGTGGGAAACTGTTAGGTGCAAACTTCGTAATTGAGGTCAGCGTTTTGATTGACCTAGCTCAGGAGTTGTAAGGTGTTTGCTTTGCTTTTTTAGCCATACCGCCCTGTAAAGCTCAGAATTTTCTTATAAGGTGCTATCGCAATCCTACAGTAATGATGAGCAATCCATTTTCAGCTCCATACTATGAACTTTAGTTGAAGCCTTTAGTTTTGCAGTATGGTTTTGATCAGAGAGCATTCATGATTCTCTTAATATAAGAAGATATCAAAAATCAAACGTTCGATACTTTATTTTGGGGCACCTTGTATCTATATACATAAAACTCAAAAATTGTCAGTTTGGTGGGTATGTGCGTTACAGAAACGCGCGCCGCTCAAGCGATTCAGCTGAAACTTAGCACACACATATGTTTTCGACCCCTGCGCAGATGATAGGCTACTTTTTGCAGCGATTCGTTGGGTCCCTCTATCGAATTATTGATTTGTTTACGTTTTTATAAGCGATTGAGGGCTTATCATGTTTAACCAAGCATTTTACCATAGTCAAGTAAAGGAGGGCGGTGAAGATCATTTTCACCTCAGGATCACGAGGATGCGGTTTCGAAGCGGGCTCAGGGTAAGTTACCCATAACATATAAAAGGGAGGGGGGGGGCTCGCAGTGTAGGTGACCAATGACCCGGGCTGGACCGGAGAGACAGATTTACAACTATTTAAGCTCACTAAACTATTCAATATTCACATTTACAATCTTTATCGCTTGTGAATTCATGATATATATCTACTCACCCATGATTTTCTTACACTTCAGTTCGACAAGAAATCTCGATACTTTCAACGAGATTTCAAACGTACCAAACCGCAATGCCAAATATCTTTATCCATACTTAATGCTGCGTAATCTGGTCGCTAAGAGAGACAATCAACACTCTCAATGGTTGACGTATGCTTCCTACCTGAACTACTGGAAATGTGGTTCTGACCCATTTTATCACATCCTCAGAGAACTTAGCCTGAATAAGCAACATTGCAGATGCTGCACCACTTGCACTCCAATTTTCGGAATTACGAGGAAAGTTAGAAAAACAGCCAAAACATGTTTCAGCTGAAACTCGTTGATGTGCCACTTACTTCCAATTTGTGTACTTGAAACGCAATAAAATACAATAACACAACTGCATGTTGCATGATGTTATGCGTACGGTGTACAAGCTATCTGATTAACAAATGAACAGTACCATTTTTTGGCTCCCGAAACAATGCTTATCACCTCTCTTCACTTCATACAATTTTATTCCTACAATGACGAAGGCAAGCGGCAGGTCCTCAAGGCTTGAAGGCAGCGTCCACCCAAAAGGGTTCTATGAGATTTCGATGTCTAACAGTGCCTGGCCCCCAACTGATGCTCAACTCGCGCTGTCTGAAGTTGATTCCAAAGCGAAAAATTCGCTTCGAAAATCTTTCGGAGGACGGATTCGCCACGTTGGCTCCTCCCTATTGAGTGGGCGTGACGTTCGTAGATTGCCAGGTGACACAGCTTTCCTTCGTCTATGCCCTGCAATGGCCCGCAGCTGGCCCGCGGCTGACTGGCAGGCCCAAGGAGTGCTCGTCTACTGCGCATTCTGAAGGACATTCAAAACTCAATAATTCAAGACTTTTGTTCAACAGATTCGGACTCAGTGTGCGCAAGAGGTGCCAAAAAAGACAAAGACACGAAATCGAGGGTTTGGGGGACGACGCCTGCAAAGGCCGGGCATGGATGTATGCCCTTCTGCACCGCTCTGTTCTAGCGCTACTTACTCTACTCCAGGGCAGCGCCACCATTGCGTTTATTGTGATCTGACAGAGTCTTCAAATGTTTTCTGGCATTCAAAGCAAGGGAGAGAGTCTCGAACAATAATGAAATGAAGAATTTCAGAAGTCGAATCATACTGGCCATTAACCAAAAAGAAAACAACGAATTCAAGTATTTACAGCGCATTTTCAAATTGCCGTACATATCACTTTAGGATTTTCAATTCTGAAAAGTGCCCCAAACGCACAAAAATCTGTTTCCCTGTCCGATCGAGTTGCCCTACGTGCCGCTTACAGACCGATAGTAACTATTCAAAAAGGAAATCTACGCCCTATGCGCCGCTTGAACCGTTTGAAAGCCCCAAACGTACAAAAATCTACTTCCCTGTCCGACCGAGTTGCCCTACGTGCCGCTTACAGACCGATAGTAACTATAAAAGGAAATTTATGCCCTATGTCCCGCTTGAAGATCGTATCTATCTTATATATAAAGCTGAATGTCTGTTTGTCTGTCTGTCTGTATGTCTGTCTGTATGTCTGTCTGTCTGTATGTATGTACGTATGTTCCGAATACAAATTTTTATTTCTGAACCGATCGGGACCAAACTTCGGGGTGATCAGCATGCTCGATTACCCCCCTCTGCCAAATCCCAGCCCTCTAGCTCGAATTTTGCAAAAAATCAATAAAATCGATATCGATCGATAACGAAAAGTAGCCTATGACACGCTCCCTGCCCTGAAGTATATGTGTGCCAAGTTTGGTCCCGATCGGTTCAGAAATAAAAATTTCTATTCGGAACATACGTACACGGGTCTAGCTGGCAGGCCCGGCGGAGCCGGGCAAGCCAGCTAGTATATATATAAAACTCAAAAATTGTCAGTTTGGAGGGTATGTGCGTTATAGAAACGCGCGCTACTCAACCGATTCAGCTGAAACTTTGCACACATATGTTTTCGGCCCTTGCGCAGATGATAGGCTACTTTTTGCGATTCGTTGGTTCCTTCTATCGATTTATTGATTTGTTTACATTTTCCTAAGGAATTGAAGGGTTATCATGTTCAATCAAGCATTTTCCATACTCATGTAAAGGAGGGCGGTTAAGCTCATTCTCACCTCAGGATCACGAGGATGCGGTTTCCAAGCGGATGTCCCAAGGTAGGTCAGCCTACCATATAGGACGGGGGGGGGGGGTCGCAGTGCGGTGAACCATGACCCGGGCTGGACTGGGAAAGCCAACTAGTATATAAGAAAAACCAACTACGACTCAAACGAAAAGAAAACAACAAATTCAAGTATTTACAGCGCATTTTCAAATTTCGTACATGTCACTTTAGGATTTCAATTCTGAGAACTGCCCCAAACGTACAAAAATCTGTTTCCCTGCCCGATCGAATTGCCCTACGTGCCGCTTACACACCGATACCTAGTTGAAAGCACCAGCGGGACCTAGCTACACAAGCAAAGCAAGACTGTTGTTAGATAAACGCTTTCAAAAGTACCAGCGAGGCCAAGTTACTTACGCACTCTCTTGTCTACACGCGGAAGCAAGATAATCCTAAACTGACTGTTTTTAGTTAGAGCATTCTTACCAAGAGTTGAGAACATAGATGAATTTAGCTCAAGTCACGCTGTTACGCAATTTGGCATCATTTCAAAAGCAACTAATAGAAGTACAACATATTCGGAAGACACATTCTGGAATGACAAGCTCGAAGAAAAAAAGGAGGTACAAGTGTTATCACACCCGGACACTGGCGACCCATTCTCAAAATCATTGCGACACTCATGATTGCCTTTCAAAATACAGTCTGCCTCAATCGGGATCAGGCCGAACCGTCGGCGTAAATCTGCCGCTCGCAGCGCTAGCGGTCTGCGCTGCATATCCGCGCTGTCGGAGAGAGCGAAAGGATTGAAGAGAGAGCAGAGAAGCAGGCCGTGGGCGTGATTGCGAAATCCTAGCGACGCGGACTCCCGCCATGCCAATTTTGGCCTGGTTAGGATTGGGGCAGACTGTACGTGTGACCCTTTTACGAAAATGTGTTTGGTCACTCGTTATGAAATTTGGCAGCGTTTCAAAACGCATGCCACTTGGCAGCAGTCCAAAGTCAAAGATCAGTGTATTTCATCATAATTTCTCCGTCTGCTGCATCCTCGTTTGCCATGTTTCACAGATCAGGGGTAATAATGGGTAAACAACGATTCCAAATTACATTACGTAGTGATTTATTTATTTATTTGCTTATTTATATGTTACGCACAAGGCGTGCCATAACTGGAACAATCAATGAAAGAACTTAGAAACATAAACAGAAAAGTAAAAAAAAACTGTCGAGCAGCTCAAGTCTAGCTCCCGAAAAGTAGAACTTGTTTAGAGCATGTACGAATTGCTATTGTACAAACTTTCATTTTTACAATAAAAATCTAACATATTGGCTGGCTGTGACCTGATGTTGTATACATACATATTCAAACCTCGTTTGTCATAATAAACAAAGTATCAAAAATGCGCGATATGCAACTGAATTCGAACTCGTTTGACTTTCTTTGCAAACCCCTTGGCCCGACAGCTTTGCTGTGAGGCTAAATAATGGCTGCACACGGGCAGGAATAGACACATAGATTTTTCCTGATAAGAAATGGCGGAATCTGAAAAGAGCTCCGTATCAAATTTGTAAATTGGAAAAAATTGACGGATTGAATGGTGGAAGAGCGCTTATTGTCCTGTCCCACATCGTCATTTGAATATGCTGATGTAACGAATGCAGGTGCAATGAAGAAGTTCTAGCAACAAAGGAATCGACAGGTTTCGCCACTGATTTCACTGAAAGATAGTGGGTGAAGAGAAGAAGCCCTCGGCAGTTAACAACTACCTGCATACGCTTCGAGTGAGTTTAGTGAAGCTTTGCTATGTTTGCAGAATCTTCCTCTAATATTCACTTATTTCATTTTGATATCACTTCCCCACATAAAGTTCAGGTTAGGTTTTGCGATAGTTCCTAGTACCATTTACCTATCATGTGGTAATTACACGCCACCTACAAACTTTTTGAGATGTTGGAAAAAGTATTTTGCCCAATTTTTGTTTCACCGTTTTGAGTCGCTTGGAAAAGTGTTTTTGGACTTGAAAGTCGATTGGGCGTGGCGGGAGCGATCAATAAATCAATTGAATAAATCAATCAAGTTGGACAAACTTGACAGGCAGAGACAGACTCTCCACCTGTTGAGCATCCTACTGGCTATTCAATTCAATGTTTAATAAAATCTGTCACAAGGATTTCTCACTTGTAAACTGATGAGGCCTAATCGCTAACCCAAGCCCACCTCCAAAGCTCTTTGAATGAGGAAAAATCGAAAAAAGCGACTTATTGAATCCTCCAATGTAACAGTTTCGCAACTAGCACACTAAGAGAGGATCGAAATATTGATACCTGATTACACTAAAGTACCTACTGATTGAGTTTCACATAGGGATAGATCCGACAAAAAAATCCAGAGCAGCACCACTTACACAAAAATAAGAAGCGTCACTAGTATATAGCTTATTTACAATGTCTAACCGAATTTTCGGTAACTGTTAACTAAATCCTGCACAGCATTTTTCTCTTGTAAGCCGATGCGGTCCAGCAATAATCTTCAGAAATTTTTCAGATTTTCGCCTCGTTCTCAAATTATAAAAGAATATTTCCAACTTTCAGTAATGGGGCATACGGTAAGCAATCAGTAATCAGCAGCCGCCTTTATTCTGACAATCTTTTGATATAATTTTGACAGATTTTCCCAGCCTTGTACACGAATGCGCTTATCGTTGAAAAGATAGGAAACACGAGCGAGATGACCTCGCCCAAACAACGAGAGGTCGTGCGAACTCGAAAGGTCGTTCCAGCGTTCGATTCGTAATTGTGCTGCGCTTGGTGCTTGTTATAGCACCCATCTGTTTCAATATGCGACATTTTATCTTTCTCCTAAATTATATTCCCTGACCGTTTCCATGTACCATGGACTGCAATTGGTTTGGGCACAAAGGAAAACTGCGATTTCACATGTCTGGGTACTGATCATTATTTCCATCTGAGCGCAGCCAATCTGTATTATGTTTGTGCGTGTACGTATGTTCCTAATAGAAATTTTTATTTCTGAAGCGATCCGGCCCAAACTTTGCATACATACACTTCGGGGCGAGGCGGCTGTCGTAGGCTACTTTTCGTCGTTGATCAACATCGATTTTATCGATCTTTTGCAAGTTTTGATCTACAAGGCAGGAAGTTGGCACGGGAGGAGGGGGGGGGGGGAAGGTAAATAAGCATGCTGTTTACGAAAATATTGCTGACAGAGCTGGGGGAGCCGGGTTTGCCAGCTAGCGCTTGAATAAATAAAAATAATAATAATGATAAAATTTAATTATCATATCTTCTAAAAAGTCTCTCACATTTTTCGCTTACTAAGACGGTTCGTTCCTTTCGTTAGCAACATTTTTCTTGAAAATTTACTTTGCTGTACATTGGCAATGATTTTCTAATTTGGCTTGTCTGCGATGTTATGAGTGCTTATGTTCAAATTCAACAAAACTCAAAATGCCCTATGAATCCGCCATTTCAATGTTCCCATCTGCATCAAATATCGACTCCGATCCGCTTTTCGGTGCATTTATGATCCGTGTCTGGCTAAAAACTCTCGGCGATCGATCCCTGCTGCTGAAATTTCGCCCCCTTCCGTGACGTAACCATCATCAGATTCATGATTCGCAGAATCGTTCTGTAAAACATTCATGATCGTTTCATCTTTATGCGTTTTCTATCGTTGTTGGCATGATGGAAACGGTGTCGTTACCACTTGGGTAGCTTTTCTGCATAAAAAAGGATTTCTTTTCTGCGAGGATTTTTTCTGCAATCGACGATTCGTTTCTCCGTCCTTATTGGCTCCACCCCTGGACGTAACCTTTAGCAAAAAAATAGTTTTAACATTGAAGGCAGCGTCCTGGCAGATCTGGGCCTATGTGGTTTACGTGGAAAGTGCTTTTGGGGCCCTAACTAAGGCACTGCCCAAGCGGCAGCGCAGGATCGAAGGATGGAAGTTTCGCGCCAGGATCCACACTTTGCGCCATGAATCCATGCGAAATAATACGATCGCGGGGTCCAATTTCGAGGGGAATATCTCAGCCGTTAGAGCACTACCTGAGCTGCCGGTTGGGCAGTGGCTTAGTTAGGACCCCAAAATTATTATCCACTTGAGATCCCCATGTGTCCAGACTTGCCTGGACGCTGCCTCTAAGTGTCACTGGCTTAATTAGGCATGCCACACTCTAATTGGAAGCTCTCGCTCCATGAATCCCATCTACAATCATCGTGTTGCTCGATCTCCGTTTTTAGACTTATTTAGACTAGAAAAAAAGGCAGCCAAAGTAGCCAAAGCTACGATCCCAAGTCTTTTTGAAAAATTTCAACTTTATGGCAAAAAAGTCATATTTCCGTTCCTTACAAATCACGAATTGCGTAGGATTGTCGAGTCAGAAATTTGTTATGTGAGCTCAACGGCAGAAAACCAGGAGCATTTTTTTCTTTTTTGATGGTTTACACATCAGACCACGAAGTGGTTATTCATGAAGAAAATTGTAATCTTGAGGCCAAGAAAACTCTCTTTTTTGCGGCATTCATTCTGCTTTTTCTTTGTGCTTTTTCTTATCATATGCTGACATGACAGAAACGTTCCCGATTTTTCAAATTGGACGACCTACGCTGTGCGATTCGAAGCGATTGCACTTTGCCGCTAACCATCTATCATTTCGAAGAACATGTATGGTATGATCGGTCGGTACGGTCGCGACTTCACTGTCGGTGATGTCGTTTTGAAAGATGTGTTGTCGCTTTCATTCGTTTTCGATCAGGTGTGAGTGATTTATATCGATTGAACGTTTTTGAATGATACCTATAGAACTTCATAAACTAAACTCCCCACTATTTTGACTGCATTTCCAGTACCTTTCTTCAAAATTTATTAGAATCTATTTTTAGGTTTTTTCAAATAGATTTGGATGCAATTTTAACTTGATTGTAGCCTTTTCGAATAATCAATAGTGATAATGGGGTTTTGCGCATCGATTTTTCATCATAAATATTTTGATGGCACTCGCACAAAAATGATATTGACGTTCATGTCTCTTCGATTATCCTTTCTAGCAGAGTATCATTTTTCTCTTTGCCGCCACAGTTCGAACGAAAATTTATTCTGATGGTATTGCAGTGTCTATAACAAGTGATTATGTCCATTATCAGAAAAAATTTTCAGTGGAACCAAGTCCATATTTCTCTATCTCACGCAAGAAGTAATCAACATAAAATACCAGAGATTCACGTAAAATGATGTTCGAAACTGTTCGCTTCAAATGTGACCAGCCTCTCCCAGATTAGTCGTAGGTGCCTATTCTTCTCGAAAAAGCGAAAAAGCTCTGCTTCAATTGTGTTTTCACCTAAGTGGTGAAAATAATTGAGCTTTTTTTCACTTTCATGGTTAAGTTGTTACTATTGACTTCCCCGCTGAATTCGTTCACATTCGAGGTCGAAATTGCTGTGCGTGTTTTCCTTTTCAAGTTTTTTTGTTATTCACGAATGTCCACATACGCATTGTTGAGAAGTTCTACACAGTGTCGCAGTTGTTCAAACATCATGCACCACATTCACCTTCTCCTTTTCTTATCTTCTGTTTGCAGTTTTCAATACCTCAGTTACAGTAATCAGACAGTAGCCCCTCTAAAAAAATGGCTGAATGTACAGTCCCAAAGCTACTCGTTTGACCCACCCAAGCATTCCCAAGGGCATTTTACACCCGTGTCACTCACCACTAATCAGACTTGCGGAGGGCCAGATGGTCGCCCGTTCTCGTCCTCTCGTCCCACATCGACCGCCTTGTGTTCGCCCTGCTGCATTTCTCCGACGTCTGTCGTTCAGATCCGAAAGCGCCCAAGCGTTCATCGCTGGCGCACTTTGCAAAATCTTTTCTGCATCGGTTTTGGAATTCTCTGCGTTCTTTTCTGTTAGTACTATAAAAATGTTTTTCTTTCAGTTGATTTTTACAAATTCTTGGTTTCTCTCCTTAGTTGTACTCTGACCCTAACCGGATATTCCTGCGCGAATTGCTGCAAACCTTCATTAGAGGATGAGTGCATGCATTGCATTATTATTTGAAGAGTGTCGCGGATTGGGCCCCCAGCTCCCAGCGTCAGTGGTATAATTGCTCTCCTGCATCGGCGAGGGGAGCCAGGGGTCCGATCCGTGAGGATAGTGAAGCGTAACGTGTGAGGTGGCTACCTGTGCAACTGCTCTGTGGGCCTGCCACATGGGAACTCTATACACTCTAGGGGCCCTTGCCACCAGCCTGCTTAGTAGCGACTCGTCACTTGGGATCGACCTACGCTTCCAGCCAACGACAGCTGGGGCGTGTGCTCATAACCGTGGCACTTAACCGGTGTCGTGCCAGCCTTCCTACTGATGTTACCCACTGGGCTTGATTACGAAATACACACAAAATGATAACACAATACTCCGGAGCCACAGTCGAGCTGTGGCCACCGCTCCAACACAAATCACACCTGCAAAGTGCCCACCATTTATCCGCAATAAAATCCCTACACTCAAACATACAGGATGAGCAACAACCAGCCAGATGTTACCTAGGGGCCGGCAATAACGGAAACCCCCCGAGGCGGTGTCGCCGGCGTGTGCCAGGTGCGATCGCGCTCGGGGTTACCTCGTAGCGTGGGAGCCAGTCCTCTGTGGCGTAGATGGAAGCACGCGAGAGTTGGGGTAGCGCTGGATCGATCGATAGTTGAGACGAATTGGAAACCCGACCGCTCACTGTGACGGCAGCTGCGAAGAATGACTACGTGACTTAT